AACTAAATAATAACAAATAGCTGCTATTTAGAGACAAATTGTCAGTGTCAATGAACCAGAATGCAATCAAGTTGAATAGCTGATTTACGAATTTTGCTTCAGTAGTCAAACACAAAAGAATCAAGACAAGGCACTGTGCATAAATCTCAGTCAGTTGCGAAAACTATTGTCTTTTCACAAATGACTAAGCTTAATGCATGGCGCCTCGTATTCATTCCTTTGTGTGCGATGTTTGATGCAAAACTTGCAAGTCGGCTATTAAAAATGGTCCCATGTGGATTCCTTTTCATTATGTTCTGGTTCATTGGTACTGACAAATTGTCTCTAAATACCTGCTATTTGTTAGTATTTTGTTTGATTTTATTTCATGGTTTTCTGCATTTCCTCTATACTATATCTTTTTTTAAACAAATGTCACATATAACTTTCATTTATGACTGCTCATTGAAGGAGTATATTACAGAGCTTTGATGATAAAAGCAATCAAAACTATATATATTACTGTTAATTGATCTGTTGAACACAACCAAGCCTTGAGATGTTGGCCAGGGAAATGCTAGGATTGAAGTCATGTTCACCAGTTAACATTACAAGGCAGTGTTGTTGACAATTATGACATTCATTGACTTTTAATATGATTGAATAAGATAGTGCAATTTGATTGGCTTAGAGGAGAAGTATTTATACTTAATAATGGTATTTCACATTGCACAATTTTGTTCAACCATTTTATAAACAAATATAGAATTTTTTGTACATGGAATTTTGGATAAATACCACTTGTGATATTTCAAAATTGTCACAAATTTTGCTTATCTTGAGAATTTTTGTTTGACAATTTGAAATACCATGTGTGGTATCTATGTATCCCAAATACCACTACAAAACATGCTATTGCCTTTACAAATATTCATATTTTTTTCTGAGGATAAATGAAAGACACACTTTCTATCAAATGATATTTTTCACAATTTGTATGTATTATTATTTTATTTATGTAATCTTATTTAGTCTTTTTACTAAAATACCTTGAGATGTTGGTCGTTGGTCAGGGAAATGCTAGGATTGAAGTGTTGTTGACCAGTTAACATTACAAGGCAGTGTTGTTGTTTTTTAGCGAAAAAATGTTAGATTTCTCCTTACATGAGCTATTTTTTAAATTATTTAATGTAAAATAATAAGTTTTTTAGAGTTTATGCAAACATATTGGTGGTGACTAAGAATTACCCAATACATTTTAAAAAAGAACAAAAAAAAAAACATAGCTACAGTTTATGGATTCCTTAATTAATATGGTGTATTCTAATTATTCTTTCAGGAAGGACAAGAAAGGGAAGAAATTGTCATAAAAAATTGTTAGTGTTCAGGATCGATTTGCACGCACTTAGAGTGTGTACTCTATTGACCACTTTTGTTACTGTTGAATTGAAGTGACGTTCATCGAGTTTTAATATGATTGAATAAAATAGTGCAATTTGATTGGATTAGAGGAGAGGTATTTATACTTAATAGTGGTATTTCACATTGCACAATTTTGTTCAATCATTTTATAAACAAATATAGAATTTTTTGTACATGGAATTTGGGAAAAATACCACTTGTGATATTTCAAAATTGTTACAAATTTTGCTTATCTTGAGAATTTTTGTTTGACAATTTGAAATACCATGCGTGGTATCTATGTATCCCAAATAACAAAACATGCTATTGCTTTACAAATATTCATATTTTTTTCTGAGGATAAATTAAAGACACACTTTCTATCAAATAATATTTTTCACAATTTGTATGATGTATTATATATTTATGTAATCTTATTTAGTCTTTTTACTAAAATACATTTTTACAAATAGAAGCTATTTCATGTAACAATAGTATATTGATTATTTATCTATAGTTTGCCTTGAATTTGTAATTGCATTTTAAATAAATGTTTACATGAATTCCCAAGTCCAAATATCTCTATTTAAGGACAAAATGTCTCATTCAAGAGTATACCAGTCCCGAAAATACTTGAATACGGAATTTTCGAAAGTTTTCATACTGAACACTCTAGAATTCGTCTCGTGATCAATAATATGCGTAACGCATACCACACGTGCACGAATTTTCATGAGTATTCAAGCGTGTTCGTGTTGTCATTTTGCGAACTAATCTGAAATTTAGTCCAGAAAACGTTGCGTATTAGAGATTTTACAATCGCAAACTTCGCGTTTCCAGAAATATTCAACCGTATTCAATAATAATATTTGTTATCACCCGGCAATATTCGGGGATATACGACTTGAAAACGGAAAAACAGTATGTATTCGAGTCGAGTGATCCCCGGCTGACGTCGCGTCAGTCGGACTTGAATACCTTTGAAAATCATCGAAAACTTGAAGTATTCGGGTTCATATTCGAGCGAATTCGATTCGAAAATTCGCCTTTTTGCACAGTG